ACATGCTGAAAAGAAAAATTACATTATATTAACTTTGTGCATGTTTTCTTTTTCAGAGACACTTTTCAATTCAAGTCAAACCAAAAAGGAATTTCTTCAGGAACAATTTAAAGCAACCAGTTGAATAGGAACCAAAAGAAGATTTCCAAATGGCCTAAGTACACTATCTAAAGTACTTGCTTTAAAGAGATGGGACTGTGCTTTAAACTACTTCACAGTCCCCTTTCCCAGGAAGAAGTGATATTTTCCATAAAGAAGACAAGAAAAAAAAGCTCATGACAATTAGTTCATGACACTTCTACAAAAAGTAGGCATAAGCCAAATAGGTCAATATATATTCATATTGTATATGGAAATAAATTTTAATAAGTCTGTTTCTACTTTCATAATCCTAGAACACCGTATATATCAATAATTGCTCTATGAATAATTTAGTAAGTTTCAATAAAAAGCTCCCTTCACTTGAATTTTGGTCAGTTTCTAAGCCATAGTTTGGATATTACAGACATGTTGAAAAATCATGTGTTTACCTAAGAATAAAACTCAACTATTGGCCAATTTTTAATGGTTAATTCATATACTTCAATAGAAAGCATTGTTAATACAACTCTTCCACTCAATAATCTATATTTTAAAAGGAATAAGCATTTTGCATCTAGAACAAAATAAGCTCTGAGATGAGCATCATAGAATTCAGCCTTTTGTATAGGAAAATATGCCAGCGAAACAGGAAGACAAAGAAACAGGAAGACAAAGAAACAGGAAGACAAAGAAACAGGAAGCACATATAGGCACATTACAGTCACCAAAAGATTTAAGTTGCTTCTTTGAAGCAGATCATCAGAAGAAATGGCCTGATTTTTAATTTTGTGCCCACCTACCAAAGAGTCATTTGTAACCTCCTCGATGTCTAGATGGCACGTCAGACTCTCAGGTGAACGGTGGTGTCATGGAAATGTTCAGCAGTTGAGCTTTACTCAGCAGGGCCAGTCATGAAGTGTCTCCTGAAGGTTGGACAGTATCTTTTCTTGCCAATATGCCCTGCTTTGAATACTGCTCTAATTCAGTTAGCTCTCATTTCCTAAGCCAAATTAAGGTCATAAAACTCTTCTGGGAAAACTCAAAAGACCATCCATCACACTCTGTCAGTTCAACTTATTCTGTAACATGCACCTAATCACATCTACTCTTTAAATGTGGGGTGGGGGCGGGGGAGACCCAAGAGGGTGGAAATGCATGGTACCCCATAATAAAGGAAATCAAAGGAAGCCAGAAGCTGATTCATTACATATTTGTAATTCTGGTGAAGACAAACAAAAAGAATGGTCTTATTTTTCTACGTTGTACAATTTCATTTCTTGGTATAAAGCTGTGGTTATATGCCACACGGCCATTTGTAGTTGTTCCAGTGAGGTGGGTTCTGTGGGAGGAGATGAGGCATTTTCCAAGCTTCACCAGTTCTTTAGCCCAGTAAGTGACATCTTCACTGAGCTCTCTTACCCTTAGAAGACATAACTGATCTACAGATGATAAACTTTTACATTCCATTGCCTTTTCCCTTGGATTTTCCCAAGGAGGAAAGAAAGAGTGGAGAATAGGGTGGCCTCCACTCTGTTTATTTCAAAAGAAACCCACTTACTGCCAAGAAGGAGCTCATTACCCAAACAGTCTATACCATCAGATTTGGAGAAACCGTTTTAAAATGCTGTCTGCTTAAAACAATAGGACTTGAATGGGGCTGCACCTAACTGGGTTCCTAGTCACTAGTGTAAATTAAGTACAAAGTGGAAGAAGAGTGAAGACCATGGAAAATTGCCAAAATTGCCCTAATTGCCTTGTAATGTGGGCACCCCAGTCCTATAGTGTCCATGTCATCATCGACACAGAACCCAGCTTTATATTCAAGTAACAAGATCAGAATGTTGTCTGGTTTTTTCTCACTACTATATCCCCAGCACTGTTTCATGTCATATAGCAGTTGCTCAATACGTATTTATTTAAAGAATGAACCGGATATTTTAAAGATTATGTCATAGTTTCATGTCTTATAGCTTCCTATATCTTAATTGTTATTATGTTTCAGATTTGGCCCATGAGATGAGGTACACGTGAGCGGAAAAATTTAAATGAGTAATATTAAGTAGGGTCACCCTCCTCTGAACAGAAACCGAGAACAACAACAGAGCGACCTCTGAAAAGGCCACAGGTAAGTGCAGGGCAAAGAGCTGGCCTGACCCAAAGGCTGTGGTTGTGACCATCTCCACGAGTCGACACCCGTGCACAAGGGGTAGGAACCCCTGCAAGACCAAACCTGGCCACGCAGCCAGCCTTGACACCGTCGGGCTCAGCCACAGTAACCCGGGAAACATCAGTAGAAGATACGATGAGCCCAAATTCTCACAGAACAGAGCGCGTTCTTGACACTACCCGTGCACAAGGGGTAGGAACCCCTGCAAGACCAAACCTGGCCACGCAGCCAGCCTTGACCCCATCGGGCTCAGCCACAGTAACCCGGGAAACATCAGTAGAAGATACGATGAGCCCAAATTCTCACAGAACAGAGCGCGTTCTTGACACTCTTAGAACGCCGAGGTGTCTACAGCCCTCTTCTCTGTAATTCCTGCTCCTCCTTTGCATTTCACCTCAGACATCAGGACCCCGGCCCTCAGAAGTCTGCATTGTGAGCACTTCCTGGCCCCCGTTTTCACCACACTTTACCACATGCCTATTTGTTTAAACTCTGTGCCATCAGTGACGTGCCTGTCATCTTTATCACCGAGGCCAGCTGCACATATTAGAACCAAGGAAGGAGGGAAAGGAGTGAAGAAAAGAAAAATAGGACAGGAGAGATGGAGGGAGGGAGGCTGCCAACCCTAGAGAGAAGAGGCGTTTGCAGTATCGCTTCCCTCTGAAAGGGCAGTTGTAATTCTAATACCTTTGCAGATGAGGAAAAGCTCTCTTATTAGTAGTAAGAAAGAGAAATCTCAGAAAGCTGTCATTTAGCAACCCTATGCATATGCATGCACGAGAAGCCAAAGGCAACAGCCAGGTGGAGTTTACAAAATGTTTTGCAACATCCTACAAAATGGTTGGGAAGAAACCTTCATGAGCATTTTTTAAAATAAGTTTCTCCAAGCTGGGCCATGAACATCGTCAATAATGCTTGTTCGTCCCCAGTGAGAGGAGGGAGAACCAATTGTTCAGCCCTGAATGTTCCCATTCCACTTCTTTTTCTTTTAACTCCTTAGCTCCTGATATCAAATTTTCTTGGCAAAGTCCACTAATATTAACGGGAATCATCACCAAAACCACGCACATAATTAAAAGGATGTTCAGAAGGGGACAGGAAAAAAAGCAAGGGCCAGTTGCAATCACAGCTTGTCAAGGGCTTATTCAGATATCCGGTACGCCTACACACTTTTAAATTAAAATTAAATTTTAAAAATGTTTTTCAGGATATAAGCTAGAATATAGTTGGAGAACAATGAAAATTTTAAGTAAGATTTTCTCCTTTACTATTAATCAAAATAGCAAAGAGCCCTCACAATAATCACCCAACCTTAGAGCCAGACGTGTCTGTCCAGCAAGCTCGTGACAACCGCTGGTGAAGAAGACAGAGGGGGGGATACACATTAGAACACAAGCTTTCACTTCCTTCCCAAACAAGATTATAACAGAGTCTATTTCTTATTTCTACATGTTACTCTCTGGTGAAGAAAAGTTTACATCAAATTTTTTTCTAAACACCTAAGGGCAACCACAGAGGCACACTGCAAGTAAAAGGTAGAAATCAACTCTTAAGCCACTATTCACACATTAGTGACCAAATCCTTTGTGGCCAGGGACGATTCTACTAACCTGAATTCCTGAATTTTGGGCTGCATACTGAAGAAAGTAGACACAATTTATTGTTATAATTTTTCTCCATTCCACTTCTAAGAATAAAATGTCAATTTTAAAATGTGCCACGTCTCTGGATACACGTGGGTATCACACAGCACGTCCCCCGCACGTACACACACGTACTCTTGAGAGGGGCTCGGGGCTAATACATCTTCTGAATCTATCTGGCATATCCCCCACCCCCACCATTCCATTGCTCTTTCGTGCAAGTGACCACAGACAGTGGATCTAAATTTGGCACATTTCGAGGTCAAGTGATGCAGCAAACAGAATTTGACCTCAAACAATATGCCTTTGTCCATTTACCCATCCACATCAACGTGCACACACCGCACTTTGCCTGCTGCGAGTTCATAAATCTTCCTCCCAGAATATTGCTCGCTTCTTCACCGAACGGTTACAGAAGTCACCTGGATGTGTTTGTTCCCCACCCCCCACCCCCAGCCCCTCAACACACACGCCACAGCTGTAAGGGCAGAGGGAGTATGCTTTTTAAATTTCATTGGTTCATGTAGGCACAGAATCTGAAGCAGCTCCAAAATGGACATCAAGTAAAAAATACCAGTTTTCAAAAGTCTATAATTATGTATTTACACAAATTACATAATCCTATATGTATTTACACACAATTACAGATTATCAAGTAAATAACACAATGCCGTAGTGTTAATGAGATGAAATAGAAAGAAAACACCATAAATGGAAGCCATTCATTTATCTACAAAACAGGACCTGGCAGGGCAGGTTTCCAACACTGACCTGGCATGTCCTTCAACACTGCTTGGGCACATTTGCATGACAGATGGGAAGGTGGTTCAGTCCATGCCCGGTAAGTCTTTGACCACGGTGCAACTGTTGGCACCAAAAAGATAGTGGTTTGGTTACCTGAGCATCTGTTTGTGAAACTGGACCCACCCATTCCACAGTAGCTTGGGGCTGCCTTCCAACGGGCTTTGGGTCTCTTACAACAAGAACCGGATGCAAACCCAAGAGCTGGGGGTGACTCACTCTGCTGCCCAACAGACCATGCCCACGCTGACACCCTGAGCCATCTACTCTCCCAGAACACCTATTTACATAAATTGCGTAAGTCAATATTTATTTATTTACAGACTGTTACAGTTTATTTTGTCAATTGCAAAAAGCACATAACACTTTGCTTTTCTTGGGGGGGGGAAAATGATACCAAAACAAAATAAACTCCGGAAGTAGACATTAAAGTAGTATTTCCTAGGAATGCATGGAGATATTAGTCTTTTTTCACAATTTTTTTTCTTTTAGGCTGATTATCTAGGGTCTTGTGTCACTTCAAGGTTACTTTTGGCTGTCTTCTCAAATCAATTTCTTCAGTGCTAAATATTATACCTATGACATCCCAGAAACTTGATTCTTCCCTGCGGTCAAATGTTTTTAACGTTTTCCAGCCAAAAAAAAAAAAAAAATGCCTTTTGGAAAAACTAAAGCCTGAATATGTGCACATTTTAGCAGCAGCAAAGAGTTAAATAATAAATAAGAATACTACTTCTTGGAATTAAATGCAGTTTCTGTTTAGGAAAAAAAAATTTTTTTTAATCAAGAAAATAAATGAAGAGGACATTCTGACCTTTATCATGAATCAACTATTTTACATTGCTCTGTCCCCTCCCCACAAAATATTTCTTAATTCCAAATATTATACTTGGTTTTTCCTCAGTGCACATCAGCAGGAGAGCAGCACCATGTGCTGAACTTGGACCACGGAAAGGCTGCGTGTACGTGCTCACAACAGCAAGTCATGTGCTTCTAGTTCATAACAGCTTCAACTCACCAGTGACATACTTGTACTTTTCACAGAGAATGTGCATCAGAGCAAAACGAAGTTGGAATATTAAAATTTAAAATTAGTTACATAAATACCAATTTTTTAACTGTCACTTTCAATTTCTCAACAGAACTGGCTAAGAAGTGTTAGATGTAGATGAGAACTTGTTATAAATTCCTTTTTCTTAAATATTGCTTTAAGAATTTGGCTCTTTTCTCCTCAGAACGTAGTAAGAAATAGTTTCCCTCACCCAAGGGCAAGTTCCAAAATTATTGCTACTAAAGAAATATGTATTCTTATGCTTTTTCAGCATAAAATGTTATAAAAGCCTTGTAAAAGATATTCTAAATAGTAACTTCCCCTCTAAAAAAAATGAGCGCTTATGACCATCTTAAAAAACAAACCACAGTCAACAAGTATAATACTTTCCCCCTCATTGTCATTATTGATAAAGATTTATTAGTTTCATTTTGCAAGTTTTACTTGAAGAGAACTTTTACCACGTAATTGACAGTTGACACCGAAAGCAACTTTCAATAAAAGATGTTACAATGACCCCTATGGTACTTGTATAATTGCATATTTGATAGCCAAGTGCACAAATAAAAAGTTTACAAGTATGATCCTGTTAACATGATTCTTGTTTCTTAAAAAAAAAAAGTCTGTGCTATGTAAACTCTTTTTTTTTTTTTCTTTTTTTGAGAGTTCTAAATCAGTACAATGTTTGATGTTAGTCCTGTTGTTCTGGAGATTGACTAAAATAAAAGCATAGTTATTGTTTAGCTTTGGTATATTCTGCAATAGTTTTAAACAGATAAGACATCTACCAACCCTCGTATTTTCAGCTGTGAAGTTACAATGATGGAGTCACTTATGAGAGAGGAAATATAACAGACACAGAATAAAAGTTTGAGACCCAGTTTATCTTTAATCCTCTGGGATAAGCTATGAAACAAGCAGTCTGAAGAGTGAGTACTCAGTGTCATGAGCCATGTGCATAAGTTTACAATAATACGGGCACGAAATAGATTGTCGCCTTTAGTACATTAGGGTCATTAGAATTTCTCATATCCATGCACCGTTATACCTACTTGCATGAATTTACCACAGGTTCATAGCAGACTTTGCCATTTAATGCTTACAGAGCCTAAAGCTTCCGAAATGCCTATCTGGCCTGTACATATTTCATTAAAAATAAACTCTATATAATAAATAAATATATAAAATAAATAAAATGTTGCCTTTGGAATTTCTATAAATAAATTTAATTTTTTTTTCTTTTTTTCTTTTTTCTTTTTTTTTCTTTTACTAAGAGGTCTTTGCTTTAAGTCACTGATATGATACCAGTGAGAACTGAAAAAGTCTTTTAAGTAAGACTGCACCCTCCATGCCTTTGAAAGTGCAGCGTACCTTTGCGCAGGCCACCAGCCAAAATCCTGATGAGCTGAAGTATGGCAGCTGTGCTGATGCAGGATGAAGTACAGCTGATCAAAATGGAAAAGCGTGTCTGTCCCCACATGCATGAGGCTGCTGTCCTCTCCGCCTCTGCTACTTTTGGTTCCCCTGCTCCTCGTCCAATCACACACTCACACCCCTCTCGCTCAGCCTCTCTCTCCTCTTCGTTCACAATCAATCAAGCAAGTGGCCCTAGGCAGCACTCCAGGAGAAGGAGCCTTTAAGTGCAGAAGAAAATCAGCATGTTCTCATCCAAGCCTCCATCATACATTATGCATGCGACAAAGTTTGGCAACAGTGGAGCTGATGTGATGACACAGCTAATCAATACGAACCCACCGCATGAAACCTTTATAGTGGTTACTTTGTTAAGGGCTCAAGTGAAGAAATTGTCTTTGTCAACTTTGGCTTAAAATATCCTTATATAGTTCAGGAACTTTGTCCGGGTCCACTGGTCTAGGTAAAAAATGTGTGAATTTCTGGTGCCGTTTAGTCCTGGTCCCTTCTCTTGGAGTCCCGTCTTTATTTAATGCAACATAGTATCGCCTTCCAGTGTCCACGTGTTTATACAGGTTCGATGAGTACGTATTATACCAGTTTTCTTCAAACTGTTCTCTGAATACACACTCTTGGGTTAGTTTTTCCTGTTTAAAAAAAAAAAAAAAAGTAAGTAATTATGTTGCCTTCAAACTGTTCTCTGAATACACACTCTTGGGTTAGTTTTTCCTGTTTAAAAAAAAAAAAAGTAAGTAATTATGTTGTAAAATGAGCTACTCTGTATTAAAAGTAACATTTGCTACACAATATAATCCTGATGAGAAAGTACTGATTTTTAAACCCATTTAAACATTTTAATGCATTTTACTAAAACTGCTTAACACTATAAATTTAACTACATTCTAACTTTTTATTCATCATGACTAACGTGCAAAAGATTCTAAGTGTTTTCTAGTTAAACTGTTCTACATGCCAACTGTATGAATGAGCCGACCGCAAAAGACAACTAACAATATGAGTCATTCTCATTTTCACTATAGCAATTACACGCGGTGACCATCATGGGACCATCCTGGGAGGAAGGGCTGTTGCAAAAGCTAAAGGCTCAAGTAACAGCTTCATCCCTAATACACTTTTCATAAACTATTTGAAGGACCAACATTAGCAACATTACCAGTGATATCAGGTATTTTGTGCCCTTTTAAGCAGTGGTATTTATTTATTACTTTCTAAGAGTAGTTTTCAAACTCCAGTGAGCAGTAGAATTACCTGAGATGCTTTTTCAAAATGCAGATTTCCAAGCCCCAACCATTTAAAATTCTGATCCAGAAATTCTCAAAATACACATTTTTAGCAGGACCCTGAGAGAATTCTGATGCAGATAATCCTCAGTCTACATTTTCAGATACAACCTTTTTACCATGACTGAGGGAGTCTTCTGAATACAAAGAAGTAAAAAAAAAAAAAAAAAAATATTC